AATAGGACTGGTTTTGTCTAATAATAAAAATGCGCGTGTGGGGATTTTTTTGCAGGATATACTCCTGGCTGTATTTTAAATCTATTTTGAAATAAATATCATACTAAATGTAGTCCTGTTTCTGTGGAATTAGAAATGTGAGATCTTTTATGTGGAAAGATTGCTATACCAGTTAATCATTTGTCACTACCCCTTTGAGGAAACAAAAATAATAATAGAAGCACTTTGAGACCTGATGTTCAAACAGGAAAGTGATTAAAATGTCATAGAAAAAACAGATTTGCAGCAGGTGTGTGCGGAAATATAGAATAAGATAGTGCATGGAAGAGTAACTGCACTTTCCTTCTATGTGAGACATTTTATAAGCTGAAGGTGTAGATTCAGGCAGAGCAATCTGTGTAATTGGCTATTGCAGATCTCTCCTGTAAAATGAACTGTAACAGTTTGAAGAATGCAGTACCCAGTGTGGTGTTTGAGATAAGTCTGGGCTCTTCAATGGTTTGTTTAATGATCATTGTGGTCTGTTCTGTTGTAAAAGTGAATTAGGAAACTAGACTGTAGCAATACCACACCTCTCCTTTGGACTTCTCACTGTTTTCTTTCTCTCTAATCAGTGCGTTCCCATATTGTCTCCTGTTCCCTGTTTCACTTCATTGGGTCTTTTGTTCTATTTGCATTTTAAAGCAGTGGAAAATCGATGCTACTTGTAGCTGAACCTCAGCTGCCAAGAGGTCCTTTCCATGTGTTGGTGTAATTGTTTGATTTCAGCACCTTTTTTAACTTTTAATTTTAACATTAGCTGAAGTAGCAAAAAGAAATTAACCCAGCTTCCAAGGATACAAGTGGGAGGGAGGGAGACAAGTAGGTGGAATTGACCTGAAAAAGGAAGAGAAGAAAATAATGAAGAACTCTCAATCTAATATATTTTTATATAAATATTTCTAACCTTTTTAAAGAAGTTTAAAAAGAGCTCTGAATTCTCCGTGACTATTTCAGAAATGCTACTGAATCAAAAATAAGTTGATGTCTGCTATTCCTATAGTTTCCCATTCTCAGGGTTCAGCAGCTCATTAGACAGTGGTTTGTTTAATCAGTTCTGCTGTAACAATGTTTGGTATTTCTTTCTGCTTCTTAATAAGAGTAATCTTTTAGGGAAATGCTATCTCTAAATGTATTGTAAACTTGCTGCAGAAGTTGAAACCTAAGTCAAAGTTTGTCTCTGGATACAGTATTTAAACTCTTTTTATATAAAAAGTAGCTTGTTTTTCACAAAGGTTAAAGAAACTGGTGAGACTTCTTGAACAACCCAAACCTAATTCTAATCCCTTGAGTATCATGCCAAACGAATACTTGCTGTCATAAGACTATGTAAACCAAGATACTCTCTAATTATGCAAATTGCTGACAAAATTCTTGATCTTTAAATTGTGAGTACGGTATTGCTTCATGTACATCTTTCTCACTAGGTTTTTTTTTGTGTAAAGAATTACTGTGGATCCAGCTGACTTCAGGGAATGTATTTCTTGCTGAAAGCAGTTGCTAACATTGCACATTTGAGATCCTGTTATTGTCTGTATGGTCAAAATAACAATAATTCTTGATGTTTTAATGATTTTTCCCCACCCGTTTAATGTATCTCTTTACTGGGGTGATGAAAATACATTTCATTAGTTTAAGGATTGGTTTTGTCACTATACATATAAAATAAATTTTCAGTGGAGGCTTTCTTGCAGTGGCACACTGCTGTGATCTTAGATTTAATATAGTAGGCTTACAGTAAAATAAAACATTGTATTAAAAACAAAAAGCACTTTCTGTTAAGTGCATTTCCATCCTCAAAAACTGTGTCATGACATCAGCTTTATCT